CCCGGGGGAGCCAGGGAGGGTCCCAGTGCCGACCCCTTCCTGCTTCCCGCAGGAGTACGAACCCACCATCTTCTACCCCACACGCTCACTGGACCCACTGCACCGGGACCTGACTACTCAGTGTGAGAAGATGGACATTCCCTTCCTGTCCTACCTGCCTGCTGAGGTCAGCTTGGGTGGCAGCAGAGAGGTGGGGGGGGCAGAGCCCCAGGGCCACCCCCTGACCCTGCCTCTGCCTCGCTCTCCCAGGTCCAGCTCATCAACAACGCCTACAGGCTGGTGGTGGACGCTGTGCTGGGCCCTGGCATGGAGCCAGGCGAGGTTGGGGGTCCCTGCACACGTGCGCTGGCCACGCTCAAGCTACTGTCCATCCCCCTTGTGAGCCTGGACATCCCCTCAGGCACGCCAGGTGGAGGGGGGGCATGAGGGGCAGGGAAGCGGGCTTGGGCGGAGGCCCCTATCCCCTGGCTTCTGGTGGTCCCAACCTGTTTGCCCACCCTGAGCATATTTCCTCACCGTGGATGGCTTCTACACTCTAGGTGAGGCCGAGGGTCGTGTCCATCCTTTGGATGGACTGTGCTCAGGCTGGCGCCCAGGTGACCCTGGCTCCCCTCCCCCTTACACCCAGCACGGCGTGCCCTCTGCCCATCCTGGCCCAGTCGCCCAGGCAGACGTGAGCTCACTCGGCAAAGGCCTCGCCCATCCTGGCCGCCGCCCCATGCCTGTTGGAACCATTAGGCAACAGGCAGACGGAACAAACAGCTGCTAGCCAGCCGGACCCTCCATGGGGGCAACCAGACTCGGGGGACATCCCCCGGCTTACAAGAGCCCAGGGTCATACCAACAGGATGCCACAGAGCTGGGGATGGTGGCTAAAGGAGGAGGTGGGCTGCCTGGTCAGGGGGAGAGGCTGCAAGCTGGTGTCCGAACAAACAGCCTAGGACAGAGGGGGTCGCCCTGTTAGGTCAGGAGGGGTTATTAGAGGCCCCTAGTCTGAGCGTGGAAGCTAGGGTCAGAGAAGGCAGGATTAAAGTCAGATGGAGGAGGAATTCCCTGATGGTCCAGTGGTTACGACTCTGCACTTTCAATGCAGGGGGCACTGGTGTGAGCTCTGGTCAGGGAACTAAAATCTCACACGCTGCACTGTGTGGCCAAAAAATAAACACACATTTTAAATAAATAAGAAGTCAGAGGGAAGAGGCTTTCAGTGAGTGGCCCCAGACAGGTTGGAGGGGGGAGAGAAGGCAAGACCCCAAGTCTGAAGGTGGAGGCTCATCTGAGATCTGGCAGAGGCTATGGTCCAGTGAGGGAGGGGCTGGGACCTGCCAAGCCAAAAGGCAAGATCTGGTCTGAGGATGAAGGCAGGTCAGAGGGAAGAGTCTCTAGTCAGAAGGGGGAGGATGGATGCTCATGTTGCTAAGGGCAGGGCATATCTTCAGAGGCAAGAACCCGGCACAAAGAGACAGGTCTGGTGGGGGAGGCTTGACTGAGGATGGAGGTGAGACTTGTATTCTGAGTAGAGGGTGGGGATCTGTCCAGAGGAGGCTGTGAGGTCTGGGTGGAAAGAGACTTCAGTCTAAGAGGGGGAGCTTAGGACTGTTAGGGAGGGAGGGATACAGACAGACCCCAGATCAGAAGGCAGACACACAGGTCTGACTGGAAGAGCAGCAGGTAGAAATGTAGTCTGTGGCAGAGGCTGAGACAGATGGAGGAGGATTGGGTAGCGGGATGGAAGCGGAGACAGACAAGTATGAAGGCAAAGGCTGCGGTCAGAGGGGGCGGGAGACATATCCAAGGAGGGAGGAGGAACTGGGCTGAGGACAGAGGCTGTTTACGGGGAGGCCGGTCTGACCAGGACTCACGTGTCAGAGCCCAGGCCGCGCTGGCTGGGGAAGGGGAGGTGGGTGGTGGGCGGCGGTGCTCCTGAGAGCGAGCACTCCTCCCAGCTCCGGCTCCCGCCTCCCATCCTTCCTCGCTCAGGCTGGGACCCAGAGACTGGCGGCGATGGCGAGGACGGGCTACGACCCGACGTGCTCGTATCGCTAGCGGCGCCCAAGCGCTGCGCCGGCCGCTTCTCCGGGCGCCACCACTTCGTGGCGGGCAGGTTCGTGCCCGACGACGTGCGCCGAAAGTTCGCTCTGCGCCTGCCGGGGTACACGGGCACCGACTGCATCGCGGCGCTTTGACAGGCGCCCGCGCCAATAAACAGACGTACCCCCACTGCCACCTCGCCTGGGCCTCCTCTGTGCGCCGCGTCTGTCGCGGGGGCGGGCAGCCTCGGGGGGAACTGCCCACCGGCCCTCCGGCGGCCCAAGGCGGGAGGGATGGAGGGCAGACGCACATGGGACTTCCCGCTGGCCTCCGAGAAAACGAGCCAGGAGAGTGGCGGGTGGATTCCGGGTGGGATTGATTTCCAGCCTGCTCGGGGCGACCTAAAGCCAATAGAGTCGAAGTGAGACCCGGGGAAGGATTTCTAGCCGCCTAAAGGGCTGCCTAAAGCCTGAGTATCGGGACGGCTTCAGGCTCTGTTCCAGGAGGCACTTCCCAACGTGGAGAAGGGAGGGTGGGCTCAGGAAGGGACTTCCAGTCGGCGATGAGGGAACGCAGGCCAGGGCGAGGGCGGAGGTACAGCCGGATGCACCGAGGGGGTCGCCCCAGAGGGGTGGTCACCCAAGTCACCTCGGGCCGGGGAGTTGCTTGGACGGGGCGGGGCCTGCACGGGGCGTGGCCTGCGGCCGCGTCCCTCCCCCATCTTCAGCCCCAGCGGCCGCCAGACCCGCGGGAGTCCGACCCGAGTGCGCAGCGGAGCTGGGACCCTCCCTCCGACCTTCGGACCTGGCCATGGCGTCACTGCCGACACTGCTCTGCCTCTGTGTTGCCGCCGCACACCTGGCGGGGGCCCGAGGTGAGGCGCCCCTAGACCCCCGCCCAGCCCCCCCTCCAGGCGCCCGAACGTCTGGCAGAGGACCTGGCAAGCAGCCGGAGCCTGGAGACAGAACCAAGGGACCCACTCGCTTCCCCCACGCTGCAGCCGCCTTGCCCGCCTCGGGAGTGGAGTGAGGGGGCAAGAGAGGACTGCAGGGTATCCATCGCAGCCACAGCATTTGGGCCCTGATTCATCCAGTCCTGTCCCCAGGATGAAGGGGTCAGAACTGTCCCCTCTCAGCGAACTCCTCCCCTCTTGCACACACACACATACCACTCAGAAAAGAAACTCCCATCTCTGGAACACTCAGCAGAGCCGGGGACTGGGCCTATTTTTCAGATGGGGAGACTGAGACTCCAAGAGGGAAGGGACTTGTCTGTCACAGCCCAGCCTGGCTATCTCAGACACCTCAAGGCCAGAGAAGCCAGGCTAGATTCCAAGGACTTCCCTTTGGCAGCCTGGGCCCTGAGTGCAGGGATGTAAGGTAGACTGAGGGAGCCAGCAAAGGGATGAAGGAAAATTCAGATCAAGACGAGGGCAGAGAGGGGCACAGCCAACTCAACTCATGGCCATTGAACACAGTGGGAGGACTGGGTCTGGGGGAGTGAAGTGGACAGACTTTCCCAACCTAAGGGGCTGTGTCCGAGTGAGGGATGGGGCTGTGAGAGACTGGGGGTGGGAAGGTCAGGGGTGGCTTCCTGGAGAAGGGGAGGCTGCTGTTCCTGGGGTCCAACCCCTTTGATAGGTACTCCCGACACCGAGGAGCCCACGGTGGCCGCGTGGGGCCTTGAAGGTTCATCGTTGCGCCCTGGCCAGCCCTCGCCAGCTCTGGAGGACTGGGAAGGTGAGCCAGTTTGGGTCTGAGTCCTGGTTCTGCTGTGGGCTCTGAGTGAGCTCTGGCTGGTGGGGTCATGTGAAAAGGGGGATGCGAACTGGGTGAAGAATGCAGGAGGCGTCCCTGGGCATGGCGGTCCCTGGAAGTGGTGCCCTAAGAGGTCTTAAGTTTTAGCAGCGGGGAGAGTCCAGGCTGTTTGTCCAGTAGGAAACCAGGGGTGGGGGGTGGGGTGAAGTGGCATGGTGGGACAGCCAGGTCAGTTCAGTCAAGGTCTCCTTCCCAGCTAGGAAGGTTCTGTTTGACTTGCTCTTGAATCAGGAAAGGAGTGAGCACCCCCTGTGCTGATGGAAACAGAAGCTAACCTGTGCGAGGCCAGACCCTTCCCACCTCTGGCTTCCCTGAAACTGAGGGTGCCTGATGGGTTCAGTGGGCAAGGTCCCTTAGTGGGTTTTCCTGGTGGCTCAGACGGTAAAGAATCTGCCTGCAGTGCAGGAGGCCTGGGTTCCATCCCTGGGTCGGGAAGATCCTCTGGAGGAGGGCGTAGCAACCCACTCCAGTGTTCTTGCCTGGAGAATCCCCTGGACAAAGGAACCTGGCGGCTACAGTCCATGGGGTCACGAAGAGCTGGGCACGACTGAGCGACTGAGCGCAGCAGAAGCAAGACCCCAGCTGGCACTGACGGGGGCGGGGGAGGGCAGCAGAGGGGCTGGTCGCTGGCGGGGCTCCTCCTGCTGCCCTTACATCTCCTTACCTCTCAAGGGTTCTGAATGCTGAGGCTAGGGGCTGGTGCTGCAGTGGCCAGAGCTCACTTGCACCCGGGGCCAGCTCAGGTACTGAGCAGAGCAGCAGAACGAGGGGGGCTGCAAGAGGAAAACAACCTCCCTTGGTCTCTGTGCAGCTCCTGTGCCCGAGGGCTCTGGGTCTGGGAAGGCTGGGCTGGCCCATGCACTTTTGAGCGCAGGGCAACCCGGATTTAAACACGAGATGGGGGTGGGCAGGCCCGGGTTTTCGCATGAATTGATGGGGCCCGACCGGCGGCGTCCCGGGTCCCACCGCGTGTGGTGCCCGCAGAAGCCAGCGAGTGGACGTCCTGGTTCAACGTCGACCACCCGGGCGGCGACGGTGACTTCGAGAGCCTGGCTGCGATCCGCTTCTATTATGGGCCGGCACGCGTGTGCCCAAGGCCGCTGGCGCTGGAGGCGCGCACCACAGACTGGGCCCTGCCATCGGACGTCGGCGAGCGCGTACACTTGAACCCCACGCGCGGTTTCTGGTGCCTCAACCGCGAGCAGCCCCGAGGCCGCCGCTGCTCCAACTACCACGTGCGCTTCCGCTGCCCGCTCGGTGAGGGCGGGGCTCAGGGGGCCGCGGGGACCTGCGTGCGGGAGGTGGAGGAGGCCTGAATGTCTGGTTCTGGGGAGGGGGCAGGACCGAGAGGACTGGGCGTGGCTAGGAAGGGGGGTCCTTTAGGACCAAGGCCACAGGAGAGGGCTGAAGCGGGGAGCAGAGGGGGCTTTGGAAGGGATGGGCTGAAATGGCGGGGGCCCAGGTGGTGGGGGGGCAGGAAGGGGCCCCCAGGAACGTATCTCCCTCTTGCTGCCCTCATTTGCTCATCTACAACAGCTTCGTCCTGTGAAAGCATGTTTTGAGCCCCAGACACGTGTGAGACGCAGAAAGAATAGCTCGGCTGGTGGGGGGAGAGGGAGGTGGCGGGGGCGCAGTGTGCTGGGGGTGGACGACCGTACCTCCACTGCACATTCGACCAGTTCACCTTGGGGGGGAGAGGGTAGGACTTCTCTCTGACTCAGATGCACGTGCCAGGAGCGTCCTCCAGCCCCACACTGTCACCAGATTCTAGGTTTCTGGGGTGGGCGGCCACCTGACGCCCCCATCCCTGCCCTCTCCCCAGAGGCCACGTGGGGTTCGTGGGGCCCGTGGGGTCCCTGTTCGGGGAGCTGCGGGCCAGGCCGTCGCTTGCGCCGCCGCCGCTGCCCAAGCCCCGCGGGGGATGCGTGTCCCGGGCGTCCCTCGGAGGCGCAGAAGTGTGTGAGGCCTCGGTGTCCAGGTAGGAGGGGCGGGGCCTGGAGGAGATAGGCGGACTAGAGGCGGGGCCTGGGTGTGATGGGAGCGGGGCCAGTTGAGGGAAGTACCTAGAGGGGCTGATTAGGGTGGAGTCTGATGGGGAGGTGCCTGAAGAGAGGAGACGGAGTCTGGGCGTAGGGGCGGAGCCTGGAGGAGCAGAACTTGGACCGCGTGGAGACTGGCTTTTCCTTCCCTTCTGGGCCTCCGAGGAGCACTGGTAAAAGCGTACATCTGAACGGGTGGACTTCATGGGGGTCATGTCCAGCCACGGGCAGATCTGTGCAGGTGCTTCCTCCGTGTGCATGTTGAGGTGTGCGGATATCCCGGTGGACGTGGACACACACAGAAGCTGGCTCATGCACTCGGGGTGCACACTCGCATGGCATTGGCAGGCCCCGCCCGTCCCCCCACGCCCACGCGCACACGCGCTCACACCCTGGCAGACACGATGCCCAGGCCCTCCCAGGGCCGGACACCAGGCCAGCCAGGAGGCGACTGGAAATTCCAATCAGGCCTGGGCTCCACAAACACGGTCTGGAGACTGCCCCAGCAGAGCCCGCAGCAGGGTGGGGGAGCACGTGGCCAATGGGGTGGTGGGGTCCCCACCCTACCCTGCCTGGCTCTGCGTTCCCCATGCCTCTTCCCCGAAGTTTCCAGTGGAATTTTCCATTTTATGGAGAAACCGCAGGATTGGGACTGGAGGGCGAGGTTCTGGGCCCAAGACCCAGCCCCTTGCTGGGCCCCCAGCCCCTGCCTGAATGTTTCCTCTCATGCCAGAAGGAGCCTCTCTGGCCTGTGAGAGTCAGCTCTCCTTTCCCTCCCCCGGGCATCTCCCTCACACCAGGACCCCAGGTCCCCCCTTGCCCCAGCCCTGACCACTCAGCCCCCTGTCCACACAGGGGCTGCTCCAAGCAGGTCCATGTTGAGGACTCTCTGAGGGTATCAAGGTGGGCAGGGTGCCTAGGTGTCTTTGCTGAGTGACTGATGGAGAGGAAAGCCCTCCCCAGGAAGGGGTCAAGAGTCTTCTGTGCCTCCGTGTGTCCCTCCAGGGTGTGGCCCCAACACGTGTGGGTGCCCCGACCACATTCTTCTGGGCTCGGTGGTCACCCCATCTGGACGTCCGCTGCCAGGAGCCAGGGTCTCCTTGAGAGACTGGCCTGGCACTATAGCCACTAGTGATGCCCATGGAACCTTCCGGATGCCTGGAATCTGTGCCAGCAGCCGAGCCAATGTCAGTGCCCAAATGGACGGCTTTTCTGCAGGCACGGCCCAGGCCCAGGCCAACAGCTCCATGTCGGCGGTGGCCACTGTTGTCCTTAATAAGTTGGGTAAGTGCCTCATGGCAAGAGGGATGAGGGGCTGAGGACCTCAGGAGGTAACTCT